AATGCATCGATCCAAAAGCCGACGATCCGGTGCATCGACATGTCCCCAAGATAATCGATTCATATTTGTTTTTTTCCTCCGGTCTATTTTTATCCATTTGCTCCTGGCCATAATTCTCCCTCCCGTGCTGCGGTGGAGCTAAACCTATTTTGCCCTCCTACCTCGCTTCCTGGTTATACTCTTACAGCAGTGTGTTGCAGTAAGCTTGACACAGACATTTTTAAATTATGCTCAGTATTGAAGCGTGGTCTGAGCTACACACTGTGGGTTTGTCCGACGACGGAGGGACATGAGGGCCAAAAAGAGTGGAGATCCAGGTGGAAAAAGGGTCCCAGCGTTCTCGCGCACCGCACTCTTCTAGCGGGTCAAACTTCACGAGTTGTTTTCCGCAATTTCAGTCATAAAAACAAAACAAGCCGGCCTCCTGTCTGCGGCACTGTTTGCAGTCAGCTACAATTTGGTAGAGGTGCAGCGGAGCGTCTCTCAAGGGGGCAGGGACGTCCACACTCTGGAGCCGAGGTATTGAATTGAACTCATTGCAATGATTCTGTGCAGTATTTTTTGATGCATCTTTTCTACTTCTGTTATTTGGTGTTGTTTCTTAAAAAAATGCATAACAATATTACAGCTTTCATTGATTTATTTAAAACTTGAAACTTTGTTTAGTGTAAAAAAAATAATCATAATTTTAAAAAAATTTAACCGATTAATCGAATCGAATCGTGGTGTATTCTTGAGTATCGAAAATAATCGAATCGTTGGGTCAGGAAATCGATACTGAATCGAATCTCCATGATGGATGTGATTTACACCCCTAGTTTCCATCCCTACAAAGCTGACTGACATCTGATTTCATCACATTATAACCATAGCTTCCAAGAGCCCTTTACTGGCTGAAACCAGGCAACATACTGCCACCACCATGTTTTACTGTATGGACAGCGACATTTTTTTTTTTTTTTTTTTAAAGGTATTTTTGTTTGCTTTTTGGCCCATCACATTGTGCATTTTGTATGGAGGTCCTTAAATGTCTTCTCATCCAAATAAAAAAAGAAATCAACTTTCAAGAGAGTGCTGTTGCCTGCTACATAACTGATTGTAAAATCCACTCCTACATAAAAAGAAAGTTTTGTGGGGTGCAGATTCTCCCACCTGAGCTGCTGG